CGGACATAAAGTCACCTCCGAGGGGGGGAAAATTTACTTCCGGCACAAGGCCAGGCAACGATTACGTTAAACCGGCTTATGCTGTCTGGCGCAAAGCAAGGGAGGGGGTATGCGTAAGTGACGTTACGTTAAACTGGCTCATTTTCGTCCAGCAAGATCATAGCAAGTAAATCAGACGGCGGCAACGGATATATTTATTCCATGACGACATAGCACGCATTCAATACGTTTGAACGACAAGTGAGCCTCCTCACCGGCCCTTCCGCCTTACTCCTGGGGTGCCGTGTGTCCTGCGTGGGGAGTCCGTGTCAGCGATGGCCTTGGCGCAGCTGACTTGTCTGCGACCTGTGCGATGGATGGATGCCGGCCCGCTTCATCGCAGCAACGGGGAGATCAGCCACGGGCTCCGCTGCCGGGCACGACCTTGCGGTGTTGTGTGATGTTATTGAGTCCTGGAACGTGCTAAGAAAGACCAGGACTTCTAGCCAGTAGGGAAGAACCTGTAATCTCTGCCAAATTGTGCAGGAAAAAAGCCCTTTATTCAAATGAAGATATCTAATCCTGTACTGTGTAAAAACTCGAGGGGAACGATCAAATCAGGATAAAGATCACCAAGGAGAGAATGGAGATTGAGTGGAAGCCGATTAGCGTTGGTGTGAATGATGAGCGGCTGCCTTGATCGTTGATATACTGGACACACGAGGAGGAAGTGATTTATTGTGAAAGGGATGCCGCAGCGATGACACAGTCGAGGGAGGAGTGCGTTCGAAAAGGTGGCAGTGTGTGATTTTGGTGTGACCGATACGCTGTCTGGCAAGCAGCACTTCCTTCAGGCGATTATCTTGATTGATTGTCGGCCAGTGCTGAAGTATGGGTTTGATTGGGTGAAGGTGGTGATGAGCGCGTTGATCCCATTCGGATTGGAGAAAGAGACGGAAATGTAAATTGATAGTTGCTAGAATATCAGAAACGGGACAATGAAGATGATAACGTTCCGATAGCATGAGACTTCGTTTTTGCTTCTTCGTCAGCCGTGCTGTTTCCACGAATATTTGCGTGTCCAGGTATCCAGAGAAATATTACGTGAGTACGTTGAAGGGAGCAGAGCGTTCGTCGCATGCCATTTAAAGTTGGGTGGGATGAATTATGGAGAGTGGTGAGTGCTTGTAAGGACGAATGAGAGTCGGTGCATACGACTGCCCTTAGTAGATGGCCTCGCCTGATGTAGAGCAGGGCTGTCAGGATTGCTGTTAGGTCAGCCGTATACACAGTATTGTAATTTGACAGGCGGTTTGATTTGTGGTAATTATGATGTATGAAGGCAGCTCCTGTGCGACCATCGCGTCAGGAGCCGTCAGTGTAAATAAAGGTGTACTGGTCATATTCTCCTTTGAACTCAGCGAAGAGTGCACGCACTTCGGTTTCTGATACGTTTCGTTTTTTTTGTGTGTTTAAACAGAAAGATTACGTTAGGTATAGGGTCGCCCCAAAAGGGTCGGAGACTGGGAGTTGAGTTGCAGGGAGTGTCGGGGAGATTAAGCGCTCGCTGCGCTCGAATAACACGAGTGCTGATGGTTGGATGCTGGAGTTCCGCGTTGGTAAGTGTGCGGTTGGGGCGGAGGTGTGCGAGGACGTTGTATGTAGGGTTACCAACGTGGCCTGTGGCGCGTGCGTAAAACCTGAGAAGTTGTAATTTTCGTCGGTGTGATAGGGAGGGGATATTCGTGTCCGCGGGCAAATTTGGGACCGGGGAGGTGCAAAGTGCACCAGTCACCATGCGGAGGGCTGCGTTTGGATGGTCTCCAGGGTTTCGACATTTTTGGAAGAAATAGCATAAAAAGAAAGCCATTGTAGTCCAACATCGGGCGTATCAGGGAGGTATAGAGGCGGAGGAGAGTGCGTCTGTCGGCGCCCCACTCCCGCCCTGCTATGCATTTCATTATATTCAATCGTCTGGCGCATCTTTGCTTAAGGTCAGCAAAATGGGCATTGATAACAAGACGACGATCTAATGTTATTCCGAGGTATTTAAAACTGTCAACTGGAGGGATTATTTCACCATTAAGATTCAGGGGGTGGAAGGTTGAACGTTATTTCGCCTAGAGAAGATAATGTCAGCTGACTTTGTGGGGGAATCTGCAGTCCCCACCGTGCACACCAGGCGTGAATATCATTTACAGCTAATTGTATATAATGCAGTGCGCGATCGACATTAGCATGCGTATGCCACACAGCTAGGTCGTCCGCGTATAAAGAATGCTGAAAATATGGAGAAATATTATTAATATTATTGAAAACATCATTTATCATCACAAGAAAGAGGGTTGGAGATAAGACGCTGCCCTGAGGAAGACCGTGATCCTGCGTCGTCGGAGAAGAATAAGTATTTTCCGCAACGCACTGAAAACGTCCTATCAGTTAGGAAGTTTTTAATGAAAGCGGCGAGCCGACCACAAACTCCGATTTCATGTAGTTTAGTGAGGAGGGCACTTTTATTCACCCTGTCGAAAGCGGCCTTTAAATCCACGAATAATGCTACTGTAGTAGATATGGTCTGAAATCCAAGCTAAATTGAATCTATAATGTGGACCAGGCTGTCCACCGTTGAGCGGCCGGGGCGAAAGACGTTCTGAAAAGGTGAAAGAGGGTGATTTGACTCAAGGAACATCCTGATACGTCCGTTGACCATTTGTTCGAATGTTTTAGAAGCACAGCTAGTAAGAGAGATGGGGCGATAGCTCGAAGGGTCAGAGGGAGGCTTAGAAGGTTTAAGTACAGGGATAAGTGTGCTAGAGCGCCATGAAGGAGGGAAGGAGCCGTTAACCCACATATCGCTGAAAGCCGACAGAAGATTGGTGAGTCCAGACCTAGTAAGATTTCTAAAGAAGGGGCAGGCTAACTGGTCTGGACTGACAGAGGTGTCTCCGCACTTACTGATCGCAAGGTCCAATTCATGGGGTGTGAAGAGTACGTTGAATGTCTCAGTGTTAGCAGACGTGAAGTTGAGTGCGAGCAGTGTGGCATTAAGTGTGCTAGTGATCTGTTGGGAATACTGCTCGGATGATGATACACGGGCGAAGTGTGTGGCAAATTTTGTGGCGACTTCGAATGGGATGCTGTAGTGTTGGTTGCTGACTACAAGGTGCGGAGTTTTATAATCGTGGAGTGCGTTTGTTTGTGAAACACCGAATCAGTGACCATATTTTAGAAAGAGGGGTAAAGCGGTTAAAAGGTATTTGAAAATTGCTCCCAGCTTTCCTGTTTTGCGCGTTTATTGATTATATAGGCTTGATGTTTAGCTCTGCGAAACTCCTCTTCATGAGCTCTGCAAATGCAGTTACGAAAGGCACGCATAGCCCGGCGTCGCAGGGCTAATGCGCGCTGACACTCATCGTTCCACCAGGGCGCATGTTTGTGCCCTGGTCGACGATGAGCGTGTGGAACGAACTGGTGCGCTGAGGCCAAAATAGTGATTAGAAATGTGGGGAGGTCGGGAGTTGCGCCTGACGGGTGTGCCTCGTCCATATAATTTTGGAAAGATGCCCAGTCCGCTCTGCGAACATTCCATCGGGGAATAAAATTGAAGTCTATTTGCCCTGATGCGACCTCTTTTATGTGGATCGGGTAGTGGTCGCTAAAAAGCGTGTCTGATTGTGATTGTGCGTAAGAGGTGGTGCTACGCGTGGTGTTGTTAAGGCTAGATCTATAACAGTGCGTCACTGTGCCTCCGTGGTGATGTGCATGCGTAGGTGTTCAGTTCGTTGATGCATATGAGGTCATGAGTGTCCATGAGTGTGTGTAAGACTCTCCCCCTTGATTGTGTCGTGCTACAACCCCATGCGCGATGATGGGCGTTCAGATCCTCAAGGAGACAGGGCGAAGGAATTTGGGGCGAGTAAGGCGGAGAGATCAGCTGAGGAGACAGGGCTAGGGGGGCTAATGTATATAGAAAGAAGAGTAAGATCTAACTGTGCTAAGTTTACGTTTATTGCAACTGAATTGAAATGAGTATTAAAATGACTTGACGATGCAAAAGGTTATTTGAGACAAACAAGGCCGAACCGCCTCGGCGCGGGGTTCGTTTACGTTATGTGTTGTAGAGGCAATAACCGTTGATCTTAAACCTATAATTAAAAGAATCCGAGTCGTCAGATAAGGTCCCTTGAACGGCGGCTATCAATGGTTTGTTTTTGATCACATATTCCTTGAATTCTGCCCAGTGGGATCCCAGAGATCTCGTATTCCATTGGAGCAAGAATTCACCGAACTGGGGATTCATTTAGGGCAGGGAGGGAGACCATCCAGCGGAGCGGCAGTGAGAGAGCGATCGAGGGGCGCGACGGCGGGAGCGCGTAACGGGTCGGGCTCGGCGTTCGACTGAGGGACTGGCCCGGGGGGTTGGCGTCGGGAGCGCGGCGGCTGAGGCATCGGATGGGGCTTCTTGGGACGCTGGCACGGGTGGAGTGGACCAACAGCAACGTTTTGGGGTGGGAGAGAGGCTCTCCGAGTTTGGTGGGGCGGGTTCCTGCTCAGGGAGGCTCGCAGCCACCGGCTTTGCTGTGACTGGGTCGGCCGGCGCGGACTCGATCGCACGCAGCACTGGACGCGGCTGACCTGCTGGGGAGGGGCGGCGTGCTGAGGAGGAGCGTTGTGCTGAGGCACAACACTGGTTCGATACATCAGGCTCCTCAACAGGACGCGGAGGAGGGAGGGGGCGCCGCCGCGGAGCTGGTGTTGAAGGGGGAGGATGAGGGTGCGCCTCCCGCGACGTGGGCCACTCCTGAGACTGGAGCACTCGGACCGGTGCATAGGCCGCTGCCGCTGCCTGCTGCTGGCGCTCGCGCAGCGCCTCGCGCTGCACACGCCAAGCGGGACAGGCGCGGCGGTCCCCAGCTGCGTGGCGCAGTTCACATGTGGCGCATCGCAGGTTTTTTGCGTCACACTCCGCCGTGTAATGAGGGTCAGCGCAGCGGCCCGCAGGTCGGGCGCGCAACTCGGCAGGTCCGGCCAGTGTGGCCGAACCGTTGGCACGTGCGGCACTGCTGGGGAGGAGGGACCCAGGCCTTTAGTGGGACCATGAGGTGCCCGCAGTGGATTGCACGCAGGAGCTTTAGCCCCCTGAAATTTTGTCTCTTCCGCGCCACGCATTTGGCACTTAGCAAACATGAACCTATGGCGATGCCGAGGCTGGCGATACACAGGGATGACAGGGGGCTGGCGTGACAGGCCTATTCAATCGCTATCGTATTAATTATGTTTTAAAGCTAGGATCACGATTTGTGGTGTCCTGTTTTATGTTTTTTTTTGTGGTGCCTGAGTTTTTAGGAACGCCACTTGGTGAACGCTTAATATGGCAGCATCAGGCACGGATGTAAACAGTGCCCTATCGTGCTGTAATTATTATGCAATAGCTTGGGTTGACAGGGTCTGGTATGCGGGAGCAGGAGTGTGCAGATAATAGAAAGGTTATTATTAACTACCGCATCAAGTCTTGCTTATGAAATTTTCTTCGGTTATGTCCATCAAAATGTCTTGTGCGTCTTGTGATAATAAATTGCATGGGTTGTGTTTGACAGTTCATGTTGTTTAGGGAAGTGTGAGGCCTATGCCATTGAAACTCAGATTTTGGCCGTTAGTAAAAGGCTTTCCATCCTATTGTCCTAGTTAAGAGATGCCTCTATTCATGTTGAGGGGGATGGAACCCAAGTTAGGAGACTTAACCCCCTTTATTGGAAGGAAAAGTACACCCCTGTGCTGGTCTATGTTATATTCAACAGCCATCTTATCCTCCAAAATCCTACTGTGGAGGTACTATTATGTGATACTCACACTCTGTAATGTCATGTGATATGCAACACTGGGATGATAGCCTTATGAGAAAACTTATTAAAGGAAAATGATTTCAATTACTTCTTGATTGTATGAATTTGCTGTGCCTTTCCTTATTTTTTCATCAGTCCTTTATTGAATTGTTGTTTAACAAGATGATAATTGTTTTACAAAAAACACATCTGCAAACAATGTACTGATGTGTTCCTATCTTGAATTGTCATGTATGCTGACTTCTTCATGTGTAGGAAGCATCAACCCAGTAGGGAAATGTTGAACATTTATTTAATGTACTGCACATGCTGGCACTTGGTAAAATTCCACACAATTTGGGGCTGCCACCCTCACCTATCCTTGCCTGTGGCAGAAGTTGTGCCAGGAGGTACAACTGGTATCAGGGAACCCATCCAAAATTGAGCAGATGTGGTCTTCCCAAACACAGTTCCATCTTGCCTTTCCACAGTTCTCTCGAAAAAGTATCCTAAGTTACCATTCTGTTCCCAAAATGTTCTGATAGGCCTTATGATGTGTACTGTGGCCTCAAGTACAGCTGCTACCAATGTGAGAACATACAGCCCTCATGTGTAATATCGCCTCAAGTAAAGTTGCTGTGAATGCAAGAATGCGCAGGAACAGCTAATACTTGTTGCTTGGTTGCTGGACATGTAACTTCTGGAGTAGCTGGCCATGTGGGCCCACATCCCATATACCACATATGAGTATTTGGCTCATCAGAGACTGTTATGGCCCTTTATGGTGCATTATAGTATTTCAGCCACACTGATCTCATGCGCTGGAACAACAGTGCTCTCCTGCAGCAGTGTGGTCGTGGCTCTTGGCAGTGAGCCAGTTACTGGGCACCCTCATCCCAAAGCCAGCCCTGCAAAGTGATCATCAGCTGTTTTCAGAATGACTGTTGCGCCCCACTTTATGCTGTACCACAGAGTAAGCCGGATATTTCTCCACCAGGGTGATCGACATCAATGCCAGCAGCCCGTCCATGACGCCACCGCACGCCGCTGAACGCCCGCTCAGTGCTGCCGCCTGGCGGCAGGAGGTAAAAGCCGTAGTCGCGGACATCGCACCGCAGGTGGCGTCTGCAGCGCCGTCGTCGCTGCCGGCGGACGCGGGCGGCGCGCTCCTCAACATCACCACGCTGGAGGGGCGGTGTGTGACCGTGCGTCTTTCGGCGGGCGGCTTCGCCGTCTGCGGCGAGGGGCACGACGCCGACGACGGCGGCGACGGTCGGCTCTTCGAGACGCCGTACGCGCTGTTGCACAGCGTTAGTCCCGGTTTCACGGCTGCCTTCGGCCTCCAGCTGGCCGAGCGGCTGGGCCGGCTCGGCGCCGCACCAGCGCCGTCCCAACAGGGCTCGGTGGATGACCAGGAGGTTGCCGTGGACGGGAGTCGCGCGGTGACGGCACGTGCGACCGACGGCGCCCGGGCGGCAGCCGAGCACGCGCCGGACGGACTCGACGGCGCTGACGGACTGGACAGCGCTGGTCAGAGCCGATGTGGCCGGTTGTGATCTGAAGAAGCGAGCGAGAACTCGAGTGTTTATGCGGCGTAGCGATATAGGCACGCACATGTCAATCTGGATCATGCTGCATCGTTGTCAGCCCCCGACTGAACGGCACCGGGTGGCAGGAGCCTCGACCATACGGTACGGGGTGGCAGGAGCCCCCGACCGAACGGCACCGGGTGGCAGGAACCCCCGACCAAACGACTACAGGTAGCAGGAGCCTCGGACCGGACGGCACTGGGAAGCAGGAGCTCCTCACGAGACCTTAACGCCGACATCTGGGACGATGTCATCAGGTGCCCTCCGGTTTAGTATTAGCTGGGTACGTGTCAACAGTTTGCTGTCCTCGAAGATGAGACGCTGGGCTGGCTTTTAGAATTTTCGGGCTCCCGCTGTTCAAGTCCTGGGCATTGCATTCAGGGGTCGTATGTGGACTGACTCAGACCTGCTTTATCGCGTGTATGGTGTTATTGATTTTGTGTACTCCTTTCAAGTTGTGAAGGAAATAATTCCCTCGATGGGAACAGTTGAAAAACTGTTGCTTGGGATATGTGCTGTTTTTTCGTGTCATAGCTGACACTTGAGTCACCTTTTGGATATTTGCTGTATACCTTCGAGCTATTTCCTCTGAACTTTTTGACTTTGTCTTCATGTACTTTCTAGCCACTTCTTGTGTGCCTTTTGACTGTTTCCTGTTAAACGTTTGGGCATGTATTTTGAAATACATTTTCTGGATCTATTGATCTACAATAACATCTACAGTCTCCGAATACTGGACTGGTTGTCATGACAGTACATCACGCGGCATCTGGCCGACTGGGCAGCGCCACGGCGTTCTGTGGATCGCAAGTCCCCGGCAGGGAGGGTGACCACCGACCGTCACGACCCACGACCGCACAGGACGCCTCCGAGTCGCAGCACCGTCGGCACGGACACACTGTAGGCGCGACGCTGGCCGACTGAGGACCCCTGGTGGATACGGCTTGGGAGCTTGCCGGCAGGGGTTTCAGTCGCATCACCATTGGGTTAGCTGGGCCCGCCACCGCCGGGATGAAAGCCACTGGTCGTCGGCTCCGTCGGCCTTCGCCGGTGATTGGTTTGAGAGGCTCCGGTCTCGGCGGCGCGTGAAATGGACGTCATTCGTCGGCGTACGACTCTCCGTCGTTGGCACCGCGCCACGTTCTGCGTCAGTTTGAAGGCCCCTGCATTTGGCGTCTTGGAAGCTGTCGTCACTGTGGCATGTACGGGCGGCCATTGTCTCTGCCTTGCGTTACAAAGCCCGTCACGGGCTCGCGTCCCACGGGATCCGGCGCCTGTAACGCCGCGCACCTTACCGTCACGCACGCCCCAGCGCCGCGTGCGCCGCTATCTCGTCGGTTTGGGAACCTCTGGCGTCGCTGCGTGCAATCGATGGCAGCGTTCATCGTCGTCGGCGGCGGCGCGGGCCCAGCCGCCAGTTGTGGTCGCGTCCGTCGGCGGGGGAGGCCATCCGCCGGGGATCGCACAAAGGTAGGGTCCGCGGGCGGCCGGGGTCGGCGGCGGACTGAGCACCGCTGGGAGGCCAAGCCGGTCAGGCTCGCGGACAGGCCCCCCTGCCTGGTGGCTTACACTGCTGGGAGCGGTGGCGTCGGCTGGGTGCTCCGCGGGGGCTGGGCGCAGTCAGGGGCGGGAGATTGGACGGTGCCTCTGGCTGACTGGCCTCTGGTCCGGTGGTGGTTTCGTGACCGGGCCGGTGCTGACTTAGAGCCTGACGTCATTTTGATCCGCCCAGCTTGTAATTGCTCTGTACGTTTTGGAAGAAATCATTACGCCCGCGCACAAAATATCTTGGAGGCGCGATGGTGTCCAGTGTGTGCAGAAGGCCGTTCTGCTGCTACGTGGGCAGCCTCTTCAACAGTCAACTGAAAAGTACCGTCTTGCAACTGACGGCCTGCCTTTATGGCTATCTTGTTGAAGTTTAGTTGTTTCTTGGCAACATCTCAAATAGCAAATGATGAATTGGAAGAATATGGAATGCAGCAGAGCGAAAAGAAAATGCTGACGGGGTTGGTCAGCGAAATGGGGGGGCGATGGAATGACTTAGTATCGAAGGAGCTGAATACAGATCGAGATGAATAAGGTATCGAAACTAAAAGCGATATAATTGCAACAAAAGGTATGCACACCGACAAAGAAACAATTTTGATATCGACAAGGAAATATAGTCTGAATATGGACAATGAAACCGATATCTTGATAAACAACTCCCTCGAACAAATTGGACATGCTGACAGCCCATTGGTTCCATGGTAGCAAAAGCCGAAATGAAAATACTCGCAAGTATCAACGCATGTACAGTAAGTCACTGCATGATGCACAGGTACCTACCGGTGATCGGGAACATGGGTATATGTGATAGCTGCGAGGCTAAGATAGATCAGGTCAAGTCAGGTCAGAAAAGGCCTGATGGCCTGATCGTGGGATCCGCTGGCAGCTGTTGGGGTGAGGTGCCTTCTGTGGGGTCCGCTGGCAGGTGTCGGGATGAGGTACCTTCTGTGCGGTCCGCCGGCAGCTGTTGGGATGAGGTACCTTCTGTGGGGTCCGCCGCCAGCTGTTGGAATGAAGTACCTTCTGTGGGGTCCGCCGGCAGGTGTCGTGATGAGGTACCTTCTGTTGGGTCCGCCGGCAGGTGTCGGGATGGGGTACCTTCTGTGGGGTCCGCCGGCCGCTGTTGGGATGAGGTACCTTCTGTGGGGTCCACCGGCAGGTGTCGGGATGAGGTACCTTCTGTGGGGTCCGCCGCCAGCTGATGGGATGAGGTACCTTCTGCCGGGTCCGCCACCAGCTGTCGGGATGAGGTACCTTCGGTGGGGTCCGCCGGCAGCGGACCCCACCTTCTGTGGGGTCCGCCGGCAGCTGTCGGGATGAGGTACCTTCTGTTGTAACAATGTGCCTGCCTATGCCCTGCCTATGTCAGAGGTCGCGACTCGTAATTTGCATTTGATTCTACCATCCGGAGATGTTTGGCATTCGGCCGTTTTGTGTTCCCTGATTAATTCTTTTAGGTCATCAGCACAACGTCAGCTAACGAACCTCATCCAATCCTGTTTGTTCTCAATTTCTGTTCATGCGCGTGGCGAGCTCGCTCCGTAGATAACTCACAAGCTCATCACTTCATGTAACAAGCCGCGTCGCCGTTGGCCATTGAACTGATGGATGTTTTCCCATCCTATTTTCTGCATTCTTTCATTCGTGCATTAGTGCATTCGTTCATAGCATTCGTGCGGAAACAAATCATACCGTTGTGACTAATACCAAACACACAAACCCGCGCGGAACACGTCCGAGTGCTATCTACGTTTCCACCGCGTCCTGTTTTCTGGCACGAATACTAAAACCGAACAAATTCCAACATCCAGTGCACGCCGGCGAGTGACCCCATATGGTATTTATGAACGGCGTGCTGGGGTTGTTGACTTTGTGGGCAGTATACTGGGACTGTCAAGTTCACGGACAGTATTCTGGGACTGCTTAATTCTCGCACAGGTTGCTGGGACGGTTTAATTCGCGGACAGCTTGCTGAGACTGTTGAACTTGTGGACAGTATGCTGCGGCTGTTGCATTTGTCGATAGTATGCTGTGACTGATGAATTCGTGGACAGTACGCTAGGCCTGAGACTCGTGCAGTCCGTGCTAAGGGTCACGAAGGCAACGTCCCTGCTCGGGAGAAATCCCATCAGGCAATCTGCCAACCGCAGTTCAGTGATGACGTTACGGGAGCGCAGGCAGCGAACGACTAAAGCCTGCTCACGAAGCTCTTCCGCTTCCTCCACGAACGCGGACGAGCTGGCAGGAAATCCTCCTTCACCGCGCTGCCTCACCTCCGTCCCCCCCCCCCCCAAGGTCACGCTGCGCCTGAGGCATATTCCCGTGGTGGGCGAGCAGTTCACGCAGAAGAGTTCTGGGCCGCAGAGACGACCGGTGCCCTCCGCTCCTCACGATCGATACAGACGCCTTGCGTCTGATTCACCGATGGCTAAGAATTCGACCGGAAAATCAGGCCACAAGGCTCATACCGCCACAACGACATGTTCATGGGATCGGGTCAATTGCAGCGCGAATTGCAACCGCTCGGTTTAACGGTGTGACGGAAGGATGCGCTTTGTCCTATTTGCGGATGTTGGTTTGTTCTTGCGCGCGTAATCGCGCACGGTCTTGTTTTTCGTCTCTCTGCTGTGTTTCAAATAAGGTCGCTAGTACTAGACCATTCAAGGCATCCTATGCAAGGAGTGGGCAAGGACGGATCCATACAGGGGGATGGGTATGTGTTCCAGAATATTTCGCCTCTAAGCGATGTAGAAAACGCTTCAACCTGTAATTTATCTTGATTCAATTGCAACTGACAGTCAATTTAGAGCTTACCCCCCTCCCTCCGCCCGTGTACGGACTTAAACCACCCCGAGGGACCTATTGCTGGACCCGCCCCTGGGAGTAACATGCGTATATCGTTGGCAGGAGGCGACAGTGTGGTCGCCGAAACACGCTATTCTAGAACGCTGAGTGTAGGCAGCCTTTGTTCGTACGTCTTTGATATGCCGCCTTTGATGTACCGCCCGCATGCACTTCGTTTGCGCTTGCTTGCTCGCTGACGGTTAAAGGCTCCGCGTACTTCCGGATTCACCAGCACTGTCCGCGATCGTCTCTATCTGGGACGGACTGCGGCTTACAGCTGAAGGGCCGCGCCAGCAGCGCTTCCAGCTGCTCTATTTGCCTCTGAGCCCTGCAACGCGCCGTGATTGTCCCGGGCCTCAATTTAAACGGCTCAGAGTTACGGGCTGGGCTTTCTGAGCAGCCACCTTGAACTGCAAGTAGTAGCCCGTTTTACTTCCAGAAAAGAGACGCGCTTAGCCCCGGAAATTAGTTTCTTTTCGATCACTACTTTTGCTTGAGTCTACAAACGGTTTGGGTTACAGTCGGCTTGATCAGAACTAAATGTAACCCGGCTGCGTCCATTTCTCTCTCTCCTCTCTCTCCTCTCTCCTCTCTCTCTCTCTCTCTCTTCCTCTCTCCTCTCTCCTCTCTCTCTCCTCTCTCTCTCTCTCTCCTCTCTCTCTCTCTCTCTCTCTCTCTCTCTCTCTCTCTCCT